CAAGGCATACCAGGTGCAGCACAGCGTGACACCGTTGCGCCCTGCACATGTGATATGCCGGTTGGGTAATGGGACTTGGCACGGGGGGTGGCGGCTGAGGACACGGCGGAAGAAGAGGTGGTAGAGGCGGACATCTTTGCCGGACCAAGGACGTGCAAACGTGGAGGCAAAAGCGGCGTGACCCTGTCCAAGTTGCTGGTGCGGCTGTGCCGGCACCACGTTCACCCAGTGGGCCGTAAATGACATGTACTGTCCCTGACCGTAGTTACAGCTCCACACATCGGCGCTGCCGTGCACTTTGGCAGAGACCGACATGCTCAAAGACTGGCCCACCATCTCTTCTACATGTGAATGCAGGGCTGACACTGCCTTTTTGGCGAAGAAATGCCGGCTTGGCACTCTCCACCGCGGCTCGGCACAAGCCATCATTTCTCGGAAAGGTGCTGAGTCCACCACTTGGAAAGGGAGGGACTGCAGCACCAGCAACTTGGACAGGAGGACGTTCAGCTTCTGCACCGTCGGGTGCGTGCTCGCAAACTGTTGTCTCTTGGAAACGGATTCCAAGAAAGACTGCTGACGGAATTTGTGAAGAGGAGTAGCAGGAGAAGGAGCATCTGAACGAGCGGAAGATGCCAACGAGCGACAACTCCCCTCAGCAGAGGTGTTGGAGCCTTGACTGGCTGATAGATGGCGATTGACGTCGGGTGACGGAGCAAGTAACGGAGCGGGTGATGGAGCGGGGGCTGGGGCAGGCAGAACCGCCGTATCTTTATCACGGTTTTCCCAGGCCACCGAATGGCGACGCTGCATATGCTGACGCAACGCTGTAGTCCCAACATGGGCCCCCTGGCCACGCTTGACTTTCTGGCCCACATAGTCGACATACGGCTACGTTTACTTCCTCGGGCGGCTTGACGAAAAATTGCCACACCACTGAGTAGGAAACTTTGCCCCCACTACTCCTCACTGGCTGACTGCTACTTCCTCCATGCACACCGGCACCACTACTGGCCGTGGTGGTAGGCTGCAGTGGAGCTGGTGCTCTACTCCGTGGCCGTTTGCCTCCACTGACACTGCTGCGACCCTGCTGCCTCCTGGGCAACCCACCGACTGTTTTGCTCGCTGGCAAGCTGGCACCCTGGCACCCTCTTCTCCTGATGATGCGGAAGCAATAGCCTGATGACGACGAGGCTGCCAAGTGCGATCAGCCTCATCATCATCAATTAGGGTCTCCGCGTCACTACTAGCCCCCTCGGCTGCATGTGGGTCAGGAGACAGACCTGTCTCTAGACCGTCTACCGAGCCACTCTCCTCGCCAGTACTTCTTCGCCTGGCTGCTGAAGAGGCGGATGTCTCCCCCCGTTCCTGACCGCCCTCTGTTAGCTCTTCCTCACTGTACAGTGGGGCTGAGCCCACAGCATGCGATACTTCGCTTGGTGAGGGAACACCAAAGGACAGGGGCAGGTAGAGGACACGTGATTTCAGTGGGCTTGCTCCCGGGCCATGCCAACTAACGGTTGTGTCTGACGTACCCACCGACCGTTGGCTGTAGGTGTCAGAGGTGACCTGGGAAGAGGAAGACGACCGAGTCAACCAATCGATGACGGCAGGGTTGTCGGTGGAGACACGACCGCTGGATGACACCGGGAGCACTGGCCTCTGGCTGCGACTAGTGCTGCCTCGACCCCTTCCTCTGCTGCCACGTCTGCTCGCTCCTGAAACATTGCTCCTCTGCCACTCCTCTGAGTGTTGTCTGACATACTCTTTAATTCAATAAGCACCCCAAACATAAAACAGGATTTAACTCTTTGAACGTACAATAGTGGATGTGAAGCAGAAAGTAACGATTCTGTGTCCCTGAGTAACAATTCTGTGTCCCTGAGTAACGATTCTGTGTCCCTGAGTAACGATTCTGTGTCCCTGAGTAACGATTCTGTGTCCCTCAGTAACAATTCTGTGTCCCTGAGTAACGATTCTGTGTCCCTGAGTAACAATTCTGTGTCCCTGAGTAACAATTCTGTGTCCCTGAGTAACGATTCTGTGTCCCTCAGTAACAATTCTGTGTCCCTGAGTAACAATTCTGTGTCCCTGAGTAACGATTCTGTGTCCCTGAGTAACGATTCTGTGTCCCTGAGTAACAATTCTGTGTCTGTCCCTGAGTAATGATTCTGTGTCCCTGAGTAACGATTCTGTGTCCCTGAGTAACAATTCTGTGTCCCTGAGTAACGATTCTGTGTCCCTGAGTAACGATCCTGTGTCCCTGATTAACAATTCTGTGTCCCTGAGTAACAATTCTGTGTCCCTGAGTAACGATTCTGTGTCCCTGAGTAACGATTCTGTGTCCCTGAGTAACAATTCTGTGTCCCTGAGTAACAATTCTGTGTCTGTCCCTGAGTAACGATTCTGTGTCCCTGAGTAACAATTCTGTGTCCCTGAGTAACGATTCTGTGTCCTGAGTAACAATTATGTGTCCCTGAGTAACGATTCTGTGTCCCTGAGTAACGATTCTGTGTCCCTGAGTAACAATTCTGTGTCCCTGAGTAACAATTCTGTGTCTGTCCCTGAGTAACGATTCTGTGTCCCTGAGTAACAATTCTGTGTCCCTGAGTAACGATTCTGTGTCCCTGAGTAACGATTCTGTGTCCCTGAGTAACAATTCTGTGTCCCCTGAGTAACGATTCTGTGTCCCTGAGTAACAATTCTGTGTCTGTCCCTGAGTAACGATTCTGTGTCCCTGAGTAACAATTCTGTGTCCCTGAGTAACGATTCTGTGTCCCTGAGTAACAATTCTGTGTACCTGAGTAACGATTCTGTGTCCCTGAGTAACAATTCTGTGTCTGTGCCTGAGTAACGATTCTGTGTCCCTGAGTAACAATTCTGTGTCCCTGAGTAACGATTCTGTGTCCCTGAGTAACAATTCTGTGTCCCTGAGTAACGATTCTGTGTCCCTGAGTAACAATTCTGTGTCTGTCCCTGAGTAACGATTCTGTGTCCCTGAGTAACAATTCTGTGTCCCTGAGTAACGATTCTGTGTCCCTGAGTAACGATTATGTGTCCCCGAGTAACAATTCTGTGTCCCTGAGTAACGATTCTGTGTCCCTGAGTAACAATTCTGTGTCTGTCCTGAGTAACGATTCTGTGTCCCTGAGTAACAATTCTGTGTCCCTGAGTAACAATTCTGTGTCCCTGAGTAACGATTCTGTGTCCCTGAGTAACGATTCTGTGTCCCGGAGTAACGATTCTGTGTCCCTGAGTAACAATTCTGTGTCCCTCAGTAACGATTCTGTGTCCCTGAGTAACGATTCTGTGTCCCTGAGTAACGATTCTGTGTCCCTGATAACAATGCTGTGTCCCTGAGTAACGATTCTGTGTCCCTGAGTAACAATTCTGTGTCTGTCCCTGAGTAACGATTCTGTGTCCCTGAGTAACGATTCTGTGTCCCCTGAGTAACGATTCTGTGTCCCTGAGTAACAATTCTGTGTCCCTGAGTAACAATTCTGTGTCCCTGAGTAACGATTCTGTGTCCCTCAGTAACAATTCTGTGTCCCTGAGTAACAATTCTGTGTCCCTGAGTAACGATTCTGTGTCCCTGAGTAACGATTCTGTGTCCCTCAGTAACCATTCTGTGTCCCTGAGTAACGATTCTGTGTCCCTGACTAACAATTCTGTGTCCCTGAGTAACGATTCTGTGTCCCTGAGTAACAATTCTGTGTCCCTGAGTAACGATTCTGTGTCCCTGAGTAACAATTCTGTGTCCCTGAGTAACGATTCTGTGTCCCTGAGTAACGATTCTGTGTCCCTGAGTAACGATTCTTTGGCCCTAAAGTCTCTGTGGCCCTAACTCTGTCCCTAATACAGACAGGTCTGGTCTCTCTTGAATGACCGGAGGGTAATGGAGAATTCTAAGATGGCCGCGATTTATAGCTCCACCATTACACAGTGTTGGCTGTCTGGCTGCTGATTGGCTAATGCGATCACATGTCATGAATGAATGCATTATGGGTCAGCGCGCCTTGTCTGCGCGCCTTCCCAGAGATCCCCGCTCCGTCGCCACACATGTCGCCGCCATTTTTGGGAAAATTCGATTCGTGCATCCGAAGTTTGCTAATTTTCGGATTCGGCGCGCGAATCGAATTTTTCCTAATCTTCGAAACGAATTCCACTTCGTCATGTTCGATTCGCTCATCTCTAATTAGAAGGCTTATAGTTGATCAAGAGTTTGTCAATACCATGACGGATCCTCAAAAAGAAGGGTGGATTACATTTAAAGAAGTCGTACAGAAAATTTTTAGGCAATAACAAAGATCCTCGCTACAAAAAGATAGTCGGACGAATGTGGAAAGCATTTCAAGCTTTAGGTTGCCTGATGAGTTTGAAAGTGCATTTCCTCCAGTCCCACCTTGACTACTTTCCTGAAAATTTGGGAGTTGTGAGTGAGGAACAAGGTGAACGAATCCACCAAGACATTAAAGAGATGGAAAGGAGATACCAGGGAAAATGGAGCATTTTACAATGATGGCAGACTACTGTTGGATGCTTCAGAGAGACATTCCAGATGCTACTCACAAGCGTAAATGCACCAAGAGGAGCCTCACAGGGAAGAAGAATCGAGTTTAGTGGGTGTAGGTGAGCTCATTTCAGTTCAAAAAAGGATTTTCATGAAACAATTGTAATAAAACTTTAATCTTATAAGTCTATTTCCATTTATTTTGAGGTATTGTTTTATTTAACATAGTTACCTAAATTGTCAGGAAACGTGATGTCCTATGACAAAATGGAGGTCATTTTCGGATTCAGTGCACCAAAAAACATAAAAATTACGCGGAATAACCACAATAGCTCTTGAACCTGGCTGGGTTTAGTTCAGGCCGTGTTCAGTGAACCCAACATGAAGTCCACAAACCGCAAAGTCAGAAAACCCCAATGAAAGTTTACAGAAGCCAAAGCTTATTTTTTCTGGATGTTTCAAGGTTAATAGGCAAGCTAAGAAGGACATGGATAACTGAGCACTGCTGGACATGTACCCATGCAAAACAAAATTTAAAAAATGCAATCTGGAGGAAAGGGGTCTTAAAGGGCATCACTGAGAATACACAAATCTATTAAATAACATGCTTGGAAGAAGCATAAAGCTGCACATGATGTTACAAAAGAATACAATGTAGTCCTTTTAAAGTGACAGTACACAGAACAAAAACAGCATGGGGTGCCCCTTAAACTTTCAAGTAGACCTTATCCAGGCATACTGCCTGGGTCACCAGGAAAGGGAGAGCAGTGAGTGTGCACCCCACACTTTCTGTAACAGACCAGGCCACATGACTTTCAGCTTTGGAAGGTTACCTTGCAAGGGGGAGCGGACAAGCCTCCGTCCCTTACAAATTACCCTTGTCCCACTGTTGAGGGACATAGGCTTCTTCCCCAAATCCAATGCCCCAAGAAAGATGTGGAGGTAATATGGGGAGGACCTATAGTGGAATTCAAAAATCACCTTTGTTTTAAGGGGACATCCAGATATTTGCCCCCTCCAAGGGGAATGAGTGCAGGGGTACTTTTGTACTCCTTACCCATTTCCACAATGAGGTAAAAGTAAAATAAAAATCAACATGGTTGAAAAAACTCTTTATTTATGTTAAACACACACAAATAAAATACATTTTATTTATGCCCCCCAATGTACAGGAGTTGGGGAAAATTATGGAAACACCAGGGAAAAGAACAAAATGGTTACCTAATATGGTGTTGGGCTGTCTTTGGCATCCAAGATGGCCTAAATTATCCTGGAAATTGACAAATACACTACTCAAAAAAATTAACAGAACACTCTGAAAACACATCAGTACTCAGTAGTTTGTATGGCTCCCATGTGCTTGTATGCATGCCTGCAGGGTATGCTCCTAATAAGACAATGGATGGTGTCCTGGGGTATTGCCTCCCAGATCTGGACTAGGGCATCACTGAGCTCCTGGACAGGCTGAGGTGCAGCCTGGCAGTGTCGGATGGACCGAAACATGATATCCCAGAGTTGTTCTATTGGATTTAGGCCAGGTGAGTGAGGCGGTCATTCAATGGTATCAATTCCTTCATCCTCCAAGAACTGCCTGCATACTCTCGCCACATGAGGACGGGCATTGTCGTGCACTAGAAGGAACCCAGAACCCACTGCACCAGCATAGGGTCTGACAATGGGTGCAAATATTTCATCCTGATACCTAATTGCAGTCAGGGTGCCGTTGTCTAGCCTGTAGAAGTCTGTGCATCCCTCCATGGATATGTCTCCCCAGACCATCACTGACCCACCACCAAAACGGTCATGCTGAATGATGTTACAGGCAGCATAACGTTCTCCATGGCTTCTCCAGATCTTTCTCATCTGTCACATGTGCTCAGGTCGAATCTGCTCTCATCTGTGAAAAGCACAGGGCACCAGTGGTGGACCTGCCAATTCTGGTGTTCAATGGCAGATGCCAATCGAGCTCTATGGTGCCGGGCAGTGAGCACAGGGACCACTAGAGGACTTTAGGGCCCTCAGGCCACCCTCATGAAGTCTGTTTCTGATTGTTTGGTCAGAGACATTCACACCAGTGGCCTGCTGGAGGTCATTTTGTAGCGCTCTGGCAGTACTTATCCTGTTCATCCTTGCACAAAGGAGCAGATACCGGTCCTGCTGATGGGTTAAGGACCTTCTACAGCCTTGTCCAGCTCTCGTAGAGTAACTGCCTGTCTCCTGGAATCTCCTCCATGCTCTTGAGACTGTGCTGGGAGACACAGCAAACCTTTTGTCAATGGCACGTATTGATGTGCCACATTGGAGGAGTTAGACTGCTTGTGCAACCTCTGTAGGGTCCAGGTATCGCCTCATGCTGCCAGTAGTGACACTGACCCTAGCCAAATGCAAAACTAGTGAAAACAGTCAGAAAAGATGAGTAGGGCAAAAAAAGTCACTGGCCTCTACCATTGCTGTTTGGGGGGTTGTCTCATTGTTGCCCATCTAGTGCACCTGTTGTTAATTTCATTAACACCAAAGCAGCTGAAACTGATTAACAACCACCCTTGCTACTTAACTGATGAGATCAATATTCCAGGAGTTTCATTGACTTGATGCTATACTCTGATTAAAAAGTGTTCCTTTAATTTTTTTGAGCAGTGTATAAGTCTTGGATGGTGGATAAGGGAATCTGTTACCACTTTTTATGCAAAAATCGTCCCAGTCCTTACAGAGATTTCAGAGGCAGAACACAAGCCAGAACCTTGTTCTCCAAAATTGACCATAGTGGCTCTATAATACTGAGGTTAGGTGACTGCGGTGTCCAAGGAAGGTGCAAGACTTCATCTGCATGCTTGTCAATGTCTGCACCATGGGGTGCACATGGCTGGCCAACATTTGTACACAGTCACTGGCTCTACCTTTCAAGGTGATGATGGAGCCTGCAGAATACCAATATTTGGCTGACCAAACCATGATTACACCTCCACTATGTTTTACTGTTGGCACAAGACAGTCTTGGTCGTAAGCTTGGCATGGTGTTCACCATGTGTAAACATGTCTGGTGGTTGAGAACATTGTGAAACTTGATTCATCTGACCATATTACAGTCTTCCATTGATCGATAGTCCATGATTTATGGGTGTTGCACAACTCTCTCCTCTTCTGAGCATTAATTTTGGTCACTAGTGGTTTGACACTTGCAGTTCGCCCGTGAATGTTTTGCTTATGGAGCTCCCTCCGCACAGTTTTTGAGGACATGGGCTTTGGAAGACTGAGATTGATCTCTGCAGTCACTTTTGCAGCAGTTGTTTTCCTACTCCAGGTCACAGTCCTGCACAATGTCCTTTTTTCTCTTTCAGTCAGTTAACCATTTCAACTGCGCTAATGATGTTTTCTTGGGAACTGTATATGCCATCGTAACCTTTGATACTGTAGCTGATATTAACACTCTACGAAGGCTCCAGGTAGACAATATTGACTGGAAATGTTAAAGGAAGTTCATTGTTAGGCTTTACATACATTTTACCTTTAATATGAAGTTAACTGCTGCATTACTGACAAAGCTAAATCTGGATTGGTCATAAAGGGTTTAAAAACCTGTTTCAACAAAGTTTTACCCTTAAACCTCTGGAGACGTACCACTGCCAGCTCAAACACATGTTTTGGTTTTACCACTGTGTTCAGCTAAAGGGCCTAAAGAGTTATCATTTCCACGTTACCACTGATGGATTGAAACCATGCAAGAATATTTTTGGTCAGCGACAATTTTCCTTTACATGCCTGAATGAGGTTAAGGTTCTTAGGCATGCTGTTTTCTTGTTTTCTGTTCCTCTTCGTTGCACTAATACATTTGGTGGGCATTTGTGCACAGATTATTTGTCTTGGTCCAGTCAGGTCCGTTATGTTAACACAAATTTTCTTTCAGAGATTCTGTATGCAGCGGTTCCATTTTTTGGATTGTGGGTTTTTTGTTGCTCCCAGAAGTCATACTCTGCAGGAAAATAATAGCAGAACACGCAATTCCATTGAATTGGTTATGGGGTGTTGATTTGGGGTATGCTGTAGCTCCAAGTGTATCAGTACAATTATGGGGCTTTCATTTAATGCAAAGTGCAGAGTTTGAAACGAGCCAGTTGCATTCTAACTCACCTATAGAGTAAATAACATCTACTGTGCTGCATACTCCTGATTAGGAAACAGAAAAATGGAGAGTTTTTATTTTGCTGAAATTCTGGGGAAAATTAAGATATTTCTGTCCAATTCCCCAATTTAGCAAAGAAAAAAAATTGAAGTCTAGGGGGACAGGGAACTTAATGCAGAACCCTAGTTGTTTAACCTTTTGATGATGATGGCAAAACAAACCATAACCACTTGTGAACCATCCTCTAATACACTTTTACCACCAGGACATGTTTCACTGCGATAGTTTGACCGCCAATTACTCCATTATGCCACACTGTACTCAAGTGTTTTTTTCTAAGAAAATTATTTATGGTTTTCCAAAGGTGCAGTAAAGAGGTACAAAATACAATTGCCAAAGTAGGCTGCCCAGCTCACGCAGGAGCAGGAATGCCAAAGCACTGCGGGTGCAGTTAAGTACAGCATGCAAGGAAACAAAGTGAAAAAAAAAACCCACTAAAGCAAAGAAAAACAAAACAAAAGTCTATGTGTGTAGCTCCTGCTGGTGAACAGTATTACAAAAGGATAATTAACCAATAGGGGACCCCTATCCACAGTAGGAGACACAAAGCAGGCTGTTCCCCATCCTATACAACCACAGGGCAGACAGAAACCATAACTCTAATTATTCCATGGCAGTATTGTCCAGCCATTTTATCCAAATTTTGTCAAATTTCCAAATACAACCTCTATGGGCATAAGTGCCCTTATAAAGTGGTAGAGTGGTAGTTGTTAACTAGCTGCTTCCAGTGAGTAAGAGTAGGGGCCAAAGGTTTTTCTTCCAGGTTTCTACACCTTTCTGGCATAGAACAGAAGCAAGCCGATTAATGTCTTCCCAGCTACCTTGGGTGAAAACCTTCCACCAGACCCAATAAGCATATTTGGGGAGTTAGTAGTAGAGGTGCTGGGCCACCGAGCCTATAACATCAATTATCGACTGCCAATAGATCATTATCACCGGACAGGCCCAAAAAATATGAAAGAAATTCCCTTGTGGGTAATCATATCTCCAACAGACATGAGAGACAGTTGGGTTGAGTCTATGAAGTCTATGAAGAGTGCAATAGGCCCTGTGCAGAATCTTAAAGCAGTAGTAAACTGCGAAAAAAACTTTTTAAAATATCTTCTCCCTGCATCACATACTAGCACATTATGAATGACTTACCTGAAAATGAAGACCTGCAGCGGATCACTGTCATGGCTCCCTGAGGCTTCCACCTTCACCTGGCCTTCCTTCCAGGTTCGCAAGTTGTGGCCATCTGATTGGCCAGGCCGCAATATCGTCACTTCCATGCATGCACGAAGGGAGTTTCAGCCACGGAACGGCTTTCTCAATGGATGGCACGCCAGTCCATCACTACTGTTGATTAACCACTTAAGGCCCACCCACAACACATTTACTGCTGCAGGGCAGGCTTTCTGCGCAAAATCACGTATATATACACGCGATTCTGCGTTTCTGGGTAGGGGGCGTGTGCGAGGTGTGTGACCACCCTACCTGC